ATGTGTCCCAGCTTTATTTATTTGTGTTTTTAGCCTGAGCGGCCTCAGAGCAGAGACTGGCTTGTGGGAAACCCTCCCCCATGGTGCTGACAGCTCACTCCCGTGTGCTGGAAATCCACTTCCACCTGCGGCTGAGGTGCCAGCATGACCCCCATCCCAGGCAAGTTAGCCTTTCTGAATCTATTTCATTTGTCAATGGTAAAAAGCATACCTGCCCAACTGACCTCCTTGTATCAGGAGTAAATAAGCTAATCCATGCATAAATCCCATGAAAGCAGCAAAGAAGTGGCAGAGAGACGGTGTGTAACAGATACAAGTCATGGAGTCAGCCAAGCCTAATGTTGAACTCTGCCTCTTTCTCTTGTGGACTGTGCCATCTGGGATTTAAGGCTGAGCCTCATTTATTCACGTGTTAAATGAGGACGGATGCCCTTCAGCTTGCAAAATTGTGAGGATGAGTGACAAACATATTGGGAAGTCCCCCAGAATGCTCATTTCCATCTTCTCTAGCATTAGTATTAATATTATTGTTGTACCTATCACAGGGTACCATGACTGTAAGATCTTCACATCAAATCAAGGAGCTTGCAGACCAATGGAAAGGACAGTAGGAGAAAACAGAGAACCAGAGAGCATCATTAGGCATCTGAAGTGATGAAAGATGTTAATTAAGGAGGAAGTAAAGGAATTCTGAGAGTAGTTAAGGATGAGGAGAATGGAGAGGTAGGCCTAGGCTATTTCAAGGAAGGCCTTATGAACTATGCTATGGAGTTCAGCATCACCTAGGCCATCCATTTCTAGGGGAAGATAAAATGTCACATGATCAGAGTGGGCCTTGTGAGTGGAAAAATTACCCATAATCTATGTAGCATAACTTTGGAGGTCAGAGAGAAAGTTCCATGATCCCAGATTTAATTTTGCATGCTCTGTCCTATGCTTAACTCCACTATTGAGTTATCACTTCCCGACTTCAGGTGGTGCTGTGGTCTGCACAGTGAAGCCAGACCTGTGAGAGGAAGAGTGGGGCGCCAGGAAGGCGGTGGCTGATCATCTGGGCCAGTTAAGAGGGGGCCCAAACTGGGGACATTGTGCATCACTGTAAATGCACCTTTTAGCACAAGGGTAGCTGCTAGAATCAGCTCTCAGCAGCCAGGAAGACCAGCCCTGGGTTGAGGAGGACTAAAACTAATGTTAATCTGCTGTGTGACTTCAGGGAAGCTACTGAACCTCTCTGGGCCTTAGAGTCCTTAAAGCATGACCTAGTGGGGCACTGGGCACTGAAGTGGGGAGAAGGAAGCTATCTCATACTTGGGGTGGGGGAGAACGTCAAGGAAAGGAGAGAGAAAGACAGGAAAAGAGAACCCTCCCCCACCTGCCATCACCTCTGTGTTTCTGAGCAGGGAAGGGGACAGTCTAGGCCATGAGAAATTAGCATAGACCCATTTTCAAGCTACAGGCAGATTGTGAGCCACATTCATAGGGTCTGCTATGGGCAGGGCCACTCTCCATGGAATGGAGCTTCCAGCAGGGAGCACACAATGCCAAGTGCTGAGCACCATGAGAATATTCCCTGGGGGAGCTGAATGGCAGAGAGCCTGCAAGCCCCATCCTTTATCAGCTGTCTTCTGGCCCAAATTTACCCTTCAGAAGAGCTGGAGACATGGGCTTTAAGCCTCCCATCATTATTCCTGGAAGCTGAGAAAAGACTCTGGAAATGTTTGATGGGAAACAAATGAACAAGTATTTAGGTCCTTGAGTCTCTTGGGAGGGAGAGACAGTTGGAGAGAGAGAGAGAGAGAGAGAAGGATGGAGATAAGGATAGAGGAGGGGAGAGGGAAGAAGGGAGAGAAGGAAAGGGAATGAAAGGAAAGAAAAGATGTAGGCCCTTTCCCTCAATGGCCCTTCCCAGCAGTTCCCCTGGAACAGGGAACCTGGGCCATTGGATGAAGTCTACAAGCAGCTGTAAGGAGATGCAGGAATCCACCTGGCCCAAACCAACAGGGTCACATTGACCCCCGCCCCCCCACCCCTGTTGAAAAACTTGAAAAATTCTTGAGGCCTCACCAGCAGACAGCACTAGAAAGGACCAAGTCCTCTTATGTTGCTCACCTTGGAAGATGAAATGTCATTTTACAGTAAGGAAGAGGTTCTTTATAAGGTTAGGGGACATGGTTCATGAAGAAACAGAGGGCAGAGGAGAAGCTGGAACCTAGTGGAGAATGGAGCAGTCTGCAGCTCCAGGACCCCTGTCCAGAGAATCCAGGGGTGCAGAGGGAGGGGATGGAAGGACGACTGGGGCCTCTAGCCTGACAAGTGGAGGCTCAGTTGCAGTCTTCTCCTCATCCAGCTTTGAGTGGCAGAGGACAGCCGTCCATACTGCTGTGACCTCCAGTGACCCAGAGAAAATTCCCATTATTAGGGGAAAAGTCTTTCTTCTTTTTACAAGAGAAAAGAACGATCATGTCTTACTTAAAGACTGTGTGTGTGAGTGTCTCACACAGTACCAGTGTCTGTAGCCCCTGGCCCGGCTTCCCAACAAGGCCAGTCTGCATGCATTCAGCAAACCTCCAAGGGAAATAATTGGAAGTGGAGGTAGGGAGGAGAAGGAGCCTCCCAGAACTTCCATGCTGAGTCTGCCTGGCCGCAAAAGCCAGTAAGGTTCCCTCCAGCAGCGGATTTCCCATGAACTCACCTGGGGCCCAGGTGAATTTCAGTAACTTTTCCCCAAACCCATCAAAAATATATAAGATGATTTTCTGTGGAAGCCGATTGTTCAAATCACATTGAGTAAAAGGATATTCATAAACTCACTCTCATGCCCCGCCCCCAATCCATGACACAAATATCCTTTCTCAAGAGCCACCTAGATCCTCCAGAGAAAACCTTTCACTCTTTTGAAAGGGAGCCTTGGTAGGCTCAAACTCAGTTTTCTCTTCAAGGAATGGTTATCAATACTTTGCATGAGGCTTGGAAGTCTGGTTATTTGTTACTCTTGCAAGTCTTCAGATTAATCAAAGGGCCTGGTTCCACCTGGTAACCACGGGAGGGAAGAGGGCTTTTAAATGTGAAGGGAGGCTGCACCCCAGATGGTTAGACCCCTGGTCCTGACAACCCCCTCCCACCCACACACTTACAGCCTCCCTCCCTTTGAGGTCATTAAGGGAAATCTAAACTCAGAAAATTACAGCTCAGTTTCTATGACTGTCTATTTTTGAATCAGTTTAAGGATAATCATCTCACTACTATGGGGTCATGAGTTTTGAAACTAACACAGGAAAGAACTTACCAAAAAACAGTTGATTCTTTTACATCAAAGTTGTCTGGGTTCTTGACAGTTCAAGTAGGGCTGTCTCCGGTCTTCTCACCTCGTGTATATTTCTTGGCCTTAAGTCATTGGTCTCACAATTTGGTTAAATATTTTGTAATGTCTAAAAACAAGAAGCATGTTTAAAACACTGTTCTTAAGAAGCATAGGCCAGGAATTTAAGGGGAGTCTCACTACTCAATAGAAGCCTCTGGTGGGACAAGGGTCTAGAAAAAGAAGTAGCTGAGTTAGGAAGACCACTCCTTTCAGCCCTCTGTGGAGAGGATAAGGCGCCTTGGCCGCTCTCCTTTACTCTCCCTGGGTGGAAGCCGGCGCTTGGCTTTCAACAGGAATCGCCCCGACCTTGAAAGTGTTTTCTTTGTTGCTCTTAAACTGAGGCATTTATGTTGCACCACAGTCTGTGATAAAGTGTGTCTTGGGGAAGAGTGCATACATTTTGTGTTTGTTTTTTTTTCACAAAAGAAAGGTCGAGAAAGAAAGAAAAAAAATCATTCAAGGATGGTCCCAGTGGCCAGTGAGAAAGGTGAGCGATTCAGGCTTTGAAAACGGTTCACACTCTGCCCTTTAACTTCAATGCCCTCCCTCCGGACTGCTCCGTAGCAGAGGATTCAATTGACTTCTTTTGTACCCAGTTTATTGCTCCGAACCCCTGGGGTCTCGATTTGCTCGCAGTAGAAACGCACCCCACAGAGCTGTTCTGCCCGCAGCCCCTCCCGACTTCCCGTTCCCTTCTCGTGGCTGGGGAGAGGAGGCGAGGCTGGCCGCTGAGCCGGCGTCGCTGGGAACAGGGATGGGGCACAGAAGCCAGGCTCCCGAGCGGCTGTCGCAGAGGCGAGATGCTGGACCCAGCAACGCTCAGGGAGCGGGCCGCGCTCGCCTTCCAACTCCACCCGCACATACTCTGCAAATTTGCAGAAGTCCCAGAAAAGTCTGGTGATGGGATCGATATTCCAAAGGGAACCCAGGCCCGGAATCCCGCATTCCCGTCGGGTAAGGGGGTGGCGGAACGCGCCAACCTGGCCCCTGAAGCAGCTCCGGCTGACTGCCCAGGCTGCTGCCGGCCGCGGAGGAGGACAACCGCCGCAAGGACTCCACTCCCGCCGTCTGGGCTACCAGCGCGCACCTCCCAAAACCTTCTGTGGCTGCTTGAAGACTTCGTGCGCGGCTGTCCAAGCCTCCCGGCCGCAGGGCTGGGAGGTGCAGGCGGCAGGTGTCCCCTGACCGGTGCGCGCCGCAGGTACCGGACAGACAGCGCCCAGAGGGCGTGATGGGGAAGGGCGAGAGGCGCCCCCAGCCGCGAGGCCCCGCCTCCCCTGGAGCCCCGGGAGTTCCCCTAAGGGAGGAAAGTGCCCCCTCCACTCCGGCCCTCCGCGCTCTGATTGGCTGGCGCGGAGGGTCCCTGGCACGCGCCTGTGGATGTAGCTATAAGAGTCCTCGCGTGCCGGCCCTCTGCTTCAGCTCATCGCCGCAGCCCTCCCCAGCGCAGCGCGGCGCGGGCCAGAGCGCAGCGGCTGCGGGCACTGCAGGGAGGCCCGGGGCGTGCAGCCGGGCGGCGGCCTCACTGCCCTCAGCGCAAGCCCCGGGAGGGAGGGGCTGCGGGCAGGGGACACCGCAGAAGCCAACTTCCTCAGGGTCTCTTCTGAAGCTGGCCGCGCCCAGGCCCACGGCGGCGAGCATGGACGCGGTGCTGCTGGAGCACTTCCCCGGGGGCCTGGACGCCTTCCCCTCTCCTTACTTCGACGAGGAGGACTTCTTCACCGACCAGTCCTCCCGGGACCCTCTGGAGGACGGCGATGAGCTGCTGGCAGACGAGCAGGCCGAGGTGGAGTTCCTCAGCCACCAGCTGCACGAGTACTGCTACCGCGACGGAGCGTGCCTGCTGCTGCAGCCTGCGCCCTCAACTGCCCCTATAGCGCTCGCCCCGCCGCCCTCGGGGGGCCCCGGAGAGCCTGAAGACGGCGCCGGATACTGCTGCGAGGCGGGGGCGCCCCCCGGTGGCTTCCCCTGCTCGCCCAGCTCGCCGCCCTCGTGCCTGGCCTACCCGTGCGCCGGAGTGGGCGTGCTGTCCCCAGGGGCGCGGCTGCGGGGCCTGAGCGGCGCGGCCGCGGTCGCGGCGCGGCGACGGCGGCGGGTGCGCTCGGAGGCCGAGCTGCAGCAGCTGCGGCAGGCGGCCAATGTGCGCGAGCGACGGCGCATGCAGTCCATCAACGACGCCTTCGAGGGGCTGCGCTCGCACATCCCCACGCTGCCCTACGAGAAGCGCCTCTCCAAGGTGGACACGCTGCGCCTGGCAATAGGCTACATCAACTTCCTCAGCGAGCTCGTGCAGGCCGACCTGCCACTGCGCGGTGGCGGCGCGGGCGGCTGCGGGGGACCGGGCGGCGGCGGGCGCCTGGGTGGGGACAGCCCGGGCAGCCAAGCGCAGAAGGTCATCATCTGCCATCGGGGCACCCGTAAGTGCGCTCCCTTCCCGGTGTAGGGAGACAGGGACTGGCAAGCGAAGGCCTGTGAGGGGGTGGAGAAACAGATTGCCAAGCAGACTGACGGACAGACCGATCGTCGGTGGGCACTGGCAACTTTGAGCATGAGCTCGCATTTCTGATCCCCCCCCCCCAACACACACACTGTGAACCTGCCTCGCAGGGTGCACATTCCCATTCAACTTGCTGCTATTCCTGGGAAGGGGCGCTGGTGGCTTGAAGGGTGGAGGAAGAGGGTCATTCTAGTATAACTGTAAGATACTTGTTCAGTGGAGGTGCCCCTGAGGGGGTCGATCCTAAGGGACCCAGTCCTAAGGGACCCGAGGAAATTGCTGGAAACACGGTTGGACATTCACAGTCTGATTTCTTTTCTCACCTCTCCAGGGTCACCCTCCCCCAGCGACCCGGATTATGGCCTTCCTCCTCTTACAGGACATTCTCTCTCATGGACTGATGAAAAACAACTCAAAGAACAAAATATTATCCGAACAGCCAAAGTGTGGACCCCAGAAGACCCCAGAAAACTCAACAGCAAATCTTCCTTCAACAATATAGAAAACGAGCCACCCTTTGAGTTTGTGTCCTGAGAAGTCCCAGACTCAGCTGAGGATCTGATTTATGTCTCTGTGCATATTGTACATGCAAATATCATCATGTAAATGTAATTTAAGAATCAAATTTTTCTAATGGCAATCAACTGTTATTTATCTATTTATTATCCCATTGAGTTAACGACATAGATGATCTCTTTTTAAATATATAATTTATATAATTTATCCTGATTTTTTTGAAAATATGCAATAGCCTACGATTCCCTCGGCACCTTTGTCAGAAGTCTGATATGTTGGAAGAACTCTGGCCGGAAAATTCATGCTTATTTATCACCAGATATGGTTTATTTCTAAGCGTTCTTAATAAATGCTATTTACACTTTTTTCTAAGGTGATTTGTTTAGTAACATCATTTGGTAGCTATAGCTTTACAAAGAATTAACTTAGTAAAAATGAACTGAATCAGAGACCAAAACTATAGTTATCTGGTAAGAAATCACATTTTATTTAGACTTAACCTAAAAAGAGGTAGGTTGGAGGGTTAGACCTCAACTCTCTGTGACAACCTTTCAGCTGCATCGCTTGGCCTAAGGAGTAATTATCTTTGCCTGTATTTTTATCTTGCCTTCCAAACACCCTATGAGGCAAAAAGGTCATAGAGAATTTATTATCCCCAATTTTCAGAGGGGAAAGCCAAGACTGGGTCAGAGAGGACCTTTGATTTGCCCAAGGTCATTCCACCTTGCCTCATCATACTGTGTAAAATGAACATGATGTGTTGGGCAGAGAGCTACCTAGTATCTGGGCTGGCCAAGGGAAGGGGACTTTTGGCTTCTATGGGCTGGGGAGAAAGGGCACTGTTAACTCTTCCGTTCGGTAGTTACAACACCAGGTACATGGAACTCCGACGTGCTCCTCTCAAAGGAGATGGCACAGGGGACGGTACTGAAACCTGGAGACCACCTGGGGGCCACCCAACAAAACCCAGGGTCTTTTAGGTAAGGCTGGAAGGAGTTCACCCGCTTCCCCTGCTACCTGCGCAACTAACTGGCTTATTTCTGAAACTGCTTTCATTTTGCCTCCAACAGAACTGAGTCCTCAGCTGCAGACAACCTGGGGAGCAGGCGAGCCTGGGGCGGAGGACGCAGGGGCGCCCCCTAGCGAAGGGGAGAGGAGCGAGGGAGCGTTCCACATTGCTCAGGGCTCGGCTTGTCCCCTCCGCGGCCACAGGCACGTTCCAGATCCGCGAGACGCCGCCCCCACCTGCAGGCCAGGGCGCGGGCGCGCGGCGGTGGATGGCGAGGCCCTGCGCGCACAGACCCCTCGGGCGCGTACGGAGACACGCACCTCCCGGCGACAGTCGCCAGGGCTGCACATGCCAGGCCAAGGCCGGGCGCTACTCCGCGGCCCGCAGCGGCCTGGGCAGCCAAGGTACAATCACAAATCGCCCCCAGTACCCACGGCCCCGGCGCAGGACAATATGTCGGCAGCATGCTAATTGCTTTAACCTAGTTTCAGACCCACCGAGAGGTTCCCCGCGCACCGCGGGTGCCATGGACCTCGTCCAAGAGCAATTAAAGCGAGGCCGCGAGCCCGACCTCGCAGCCCCGCAGCGCAGCCTGGCCAGACACGCTGAGATTCTGGGTCGAGAGGCTCCCAGAAGGCCCTTGGCCATGGACCCTCTCACCCTTCCAGCCTTCGCGCCCACTCCCGCCCCTCCCCCGAAAGATGGTTTCACACTGGAGACTGAATTTGAGAACGAGAGAAAATAATTCCATTTTGTCCTGTATTAGGGCCTCATTAAACACGAAAGTTGCTTTTGCACTAATGCTTCCATCAGGCATGTAATCTCATTACACTCATTAGAAAGTCAAATGTTAGGCAGACTTCAAGTTAATTTTGAGTTACGGAAGTATTGTACCATTTTCTTCAGCTGTTGTAGACCTGCGTTTCGGTTGGATTGGGCAACGTGGCACTCCGCAGTTAAAACACTACAATCATTGTGATGTGGCACCTTTTATTTTGCGTGCCACTTTTTTTGTGAATCAATGCCTCAACACATCCTTTAGTGCGGTGCAGATGAAGCGGAAGAGCCGAACTGAGCTGGAAAACACCAGGGTCTCTATCTTGTCACTCTCTGTCCTGACTTGGCAAGTCCCTTTAAGCACAACCTTCAAAGAGACTGACAGCTTCTTTTTATTTACTCATAATCCATTCACTCTAGTGTAGCAATTCTTTTTTTAAAAAAGATGTGGCAGTAAAAGCAGAACAAACGTATCATTTCAGAGTCTTCTTTGGCGTCAGGGAGACCCGAGCTGCGCTGGGTGCAGGAGTCGCTCTCCTTGTGGCAGCGCCAGGCTGGAAAGCCTCTGGCCTGGGGCATCTCTGGCCAGCAAATACAGGCTGGCACTAGAAAGACCATGTGGGGGCAGTTTGAGTGACAGGTATTCAGGGGTTCTTGTAAGTCAACCCTTTTCTTCTAACTTAAAAAAATGCATATGAAAATAATCTGGTAAGCCAAACTCCTGGACGGCTGTGGAGGGCCTCTTTGCCCCGCAGGCTCTTCTGAACACCCATCAGCCCCTGCGCTGAAGCCCAGCCTGGGACCACCAGGGGAAAGAGTTTAAAGTCCGCCCCGGCTGCCCTTGTCCATTTAGCATAATAAAGAAGTTGCAAACGCAAGTACAGGGTGCATTTTATGATCTCTATTGGAGAGCTGGCTAAATCATTCCTCAGTGGTCCAGACTCCATTTCTAGGGGTAGGGAGAAGGTGGGGGTAAGGGGTGGAGATGGGAGGGAGTCCTGGGGTGGGTGGGAGTAAAGTCTTCTGACTGCAGAGGTTGCCTGGGGTGCCCTGCCCTCCCCCACATCTTAACCCCTCCTGACAA